TCCCTACACTGTTGTTGTGCCCTGGCAGCAACAGCAGAGGCTGGAATCTAAACCACTGTAGGGACTTGTTTAGTGAATTGGACCATTGTTTTTGAACAGAACTAGGGCTGGGTGGTGTATGCTTTTACTTCCTCCCTCCTTAATGGCATGATTTCCAGGATATGCATCACTTTCATCACCCTAGTTTCCTATATTTGCATTTTTAATGTTTATTTACTCTGTTCCATCCATTTAGCTCATTTGCTATCAGCTGATGCCCCACTGTTTCTTGCACTCTGTAACTGCAGCCATATGCACAGGGTGTGGGAGAGGAGGACGGGAAGAGGGTGAGCAAAAGGGAAAGTAGTGGAAGAGGGTGGGGAGGAAGGCGTGGCACATAGTTGCGGCAGGCTAATTGAAAGCCAGCACTTTGTCTGGTGAAGTTGCAGTGTATGGGAGTGGTCAGAAATCTTGGTTGTAACGGTGTTTATCCAAAAACATACAGAGAAAGCACTTTACAGACAATCTTCCTGTTTGGAGACATGGAGACAGATAACACTGTGTGTGTTTGGTGGAGAGTAAATCTGTCAGTCGTTTTCCTTCTATACAAAAGCTTGTTTTTTTTTGTTTTTTTTTGCTTTAGTGTCACGTTTTTTGAAAGGAAAACAATTGTTGTGCCAACGAAAGGTGGTTGTTGTTGTGGAGTGGTGACGGTAGTCAGTCTCTCACGGTCAGATGCAGGACACATCGCAGTACCAGCAGTTCTCCATCATGTTTGCCAAAAGTGTCTACATTGATACTTACTTCAGGAAAATTTGTATTTGTGGCACACTGTACTACTAAATATACATAAAAGATATTGTGTGCATATATTGTAGCATTCTCTATTTCTTCATAAATAATTTCTCTAATCCTCAAACAAATATGTTTTGTAAATACAACATGAATAAATCCAAAATATATTATATGTCAGTGTTTTTCAACTTAGGGGTTGCAACCCCACATGGGGTCATCTGGAATTCATATGTGGTCCACAGAAATGTCTAGTAATTTATAATAGATAAAAACTAATTGTAATTCTTTTTCAATTAACATTGTATTTGCAACATGGTATGACAAACACAATTCAAAAACAAATTCAAACCCTGGGATCACCAGAATTTGTGATGTCAAAATATGGCTGCAAGCCAACAAAGGTTGGAAACCACTGTTTTATATGTGTAACACCCTAGGAAATACTGCAGTAACAGTATTGTTGAAAACATAACTTTGGTATGTCGGTGTTGTTATTGTTAAAAAATAAAATAAAATCAGATTCAATTAATACTTTAGAATTACATGATACTCTCTGAGTATACAGTATATATATATATATATATAT